GTTTCAGATGCTGCTGAAGGGCTTTCACTGTATCTACTTGATGATGAGCCAGATGGGCCATTTTCTTCATCGAGCTTCGGTGGATATAGCCGAAGTGGAAATAGCCATGACCCAGGGAAAGCCAAATCATTTCGGAATAGAGTTTTGCCAGTTAAACAAGGTAGGAAATAAATATGGGACGGGGCTCTTTATGGTAGAAGATGAATCATTTAAAAGCTGATATTTTGGCATAGTAAAAACTAGTATATTCTTAGTTAATGAGAATTTTGTCAAGTATGAGTCAGATAGCATTTCATATTCGTAACTGGGAACAGGCCATTAGCAGATTTCCAATAGCTATTTTCAAATGTATTTTAGTCTTAAAATAAAATGTAAAATGGGGACAGGCATGATGGCTCATGCCTGTAATCCCCACACTTTTGGAAGGCAAGGGAGGAGGATCACTTTAGGCCGGGAGATTGAGACCAGCCTGGACAACAAAGCAAGACCTCGTCTCTGCAAAAAAAATAGTGACACGTGATGGCACAGAGCTCCCAGCTACTTGGGAGGCTGAGATGGGAGGATCATTTGAGCCAGGAGTAGGTGACTATAGTGAACTGATTGTGCCACTGCACTCCAGCCTGTGTGACAGAGTGAGATACTATCTCAAAAATAGTAAATAAGTAAAATAAAATGAATTGGGAGAAAAAACTAAATGTTCTTTCCCCAAGCACATGAAGATACCTTTAGCATTTTTTGTATATTAAACCATATTAATGAGAAAGGAAAGAGTTTCCAAAATCATCTTTAAATAAGTCTCATGTTTTTGTGGCCCACTCCAGTAAAAATATGGGTCTGGGCTAAGAAATGAGTCTTCTTTCAGTCAACAACCACTTCTACCACCTTCCTTAAGGTTTTCCAGTTATGTAACTCGGATATTCTCTTCCCTAGGGGCATGCTATACCACAAAGTTAGTGGCTTTCAGACTGTACCCTGCCCATTTCTGAGGCATCCACAAAAGCACTTCAGGCATTCACAGAAGAACCTTCTGCATTTAACCTGGCAGTTCTCTTTGTTATTTCATATAAGGAGCTGCTATTTTACTTTTTATTAGGAGAAAAATGTTCACTGCTTAAAAAGAAATCACTGACCTAATTCATTATGTGTGTCTATCTTGGACCATACAAGGGATATCAATTATCATAAATATTTGAAGGTTATTGTTACTCAAGTTTTCTTCTTTTACTTAGTCCTATATTAGGGACCTTGAACATATTCAAAGAAAGTTCTAACATGTTCAGCTATTTGAAATTTCTGAAGAAAAGTTAATATGCTTTTACAAATAATTTTATTGAATTATAGATTTTATTTTATATACATTTTAATGAAAGATTAAGTAGCTTATCCTTTTTTTTTTTCTTTTTTGGAGATGGAGTCTCACTTTGTTGCCCAGGCTGGAGTGCAGTGGGGCATTCTCGGCTCACTGCAACCTCCGCCTCTCAGGTTCTTGCAATTCTCCCGCCTCAGCCTCCTGAGTAGCCGCCACAAGTGGTGCACACCACCATGCCTGGCTGATTTTTTGTATTTTAGTTTGGTTTCACCGTGTTGCCCAGGATGGTCTCAAACTCCTGGGCTCAGGCAATCCACCCGCCTTGGTCTCCCAAAGTGCTGGGATTACAGTCGTGAACCACTACGCCACCCATTGTTATTTAGCTATCAAATAAGTTAAAAATAGGCTTTTGCAAATATATTTTATAGTGGTTATATAAGAAATATTGAAACATGGCCAGGCGTTGTGGCTCACCCCTGTAATCCAAGCACTTTGAAGGCCAAGGTGGGTGAATCACCTGAGATCGGGAGTTCAAGACCAGCCTGACCAACATGGTAAAACTCCGTCTTTAATTAAAAAAATTAAATAATAAAAAAAAAGAAATATTGAAACATACTTGATTACTCTAAAATAATGAGTGCCTTTATTTTCCCCAAGTTATATATTTAGTGTCTCCTCTGATCTTGCATACTTATGTCATTGCCTTTTTTCATTTTACCTTTTCCTCCACTGCAATGTTTAACCCATGCTTCCTATGTCTATTTTGTTTTTCCCAGCCACAGAGTCGTTTATCCTTTGCAGTATGGTGTCTGTCCTGACCACTCTTCAAAAGCTGTTCTCACACTCATGAGTACTCTTCAGTGGCCAGCTGTTGTATTTTTTTAGTTTTTAACTTCTCAGTTTCTGTATCATTGCATGTTGTTGACTACCTCTTCTATGAAATCTACTCGTAAACTTCTATATGCTATTGATTCTCTTATATCTCTTGTTTCTGTTTCTTCTCTTTGACTCTACTGCTATTTGCAGAGTTTGTCACTGTTATTTGCTTGTTTTTGTCTTCCACAAATAAGGAGTCTAATGACTGCATCAGCCATCTTGATGTGATGACTCTCCAAATGCATATATACAGCTCAGATATCTCCATTAGAATAATTTCCAAGTGCTTCCTTATAAAATAAAAAAATAAAAATCCTCGATTGCTTATCTTTGCATCTCAAACTTGCTTCTTTTTCTGTGCTCACTATTTTAATTAATGGCATCATCATCTTTCTTGCTACCCAACTTAAAATCTCGCAGTGCTTTTTGACTCTTCATTTATACCTAATCAGTTGCCAAGTTTTGTGAATTCTACAACTCTTTAATACCACTTAAATCTCTTGTGTAGTTTCTACTGCTATCACCTTTGTCTCCAGCCTAGGATATTGGTCAGCTTGGGTTTCCAAGCTTGGGTTTCCATAACAAGATACCACAGACTTGAGTGACTTAAACAGCAGACATTCATTTTTCTCACAGAGCTAGAGGCTCAATCCAATGTTAAGGTGCCATATGAGTGGGTATCTGATAAGGGATTTTTACCTGGTTTCTCTGTGTCCACCTTCTTGCTTTGTCCTCACATGCCTTTGCCTCTGCAGAGAGACAGAGGGAAATACCCCTAGTATCTCTTCCTCTTCCTGTAAGAACATCAGTCCTTTTGAGTTATAGTCCCACCCATATAACCCCATTTAACCTTAATTACCTCCTTATATGCCCTAATCTCTAAATGCAGTCACTGCGGGGGTTAGGGCTTCCACATATGAATTTTGAAGGGACACAATTCGGTCCATAATACCCAGACTTATTAATCTTGTAATTATCCACAACCCTAGTCTTACGTATTTTCAATTCTTCCAGGCTGCTCTCTTGTTTCCCTCCTACCTCACTGGCTGGTCCTTCTCCATTTTCTTTGTTGGTTCTTCTTTATCTTCAAACAGTTGAATATTTCAGGTCTCTTTGGCCACCTCGTCTCTCTACTTATTCTCTCAGTGAGCTCTCCTGTTTCTCATTACCCTAACTATTATCTCTTTACTAAAAACTTTCACAGTTATATCTCTAGCCCCACCTTCTCCCCTGAGCTCTAGACTGGTATATCTACCTGCTGTTTAAATTTAATTTTTAAATGTCTTTCCTTGGATCTCTATTAACATCTAAAATGGAATCTTGATTTTTCTAGTGCCCTGCTCAAAGCTGTTGCTCCTTCAGTGTTTTCTACATGAGCAAAATATCTCTACCATTTACCCAGTTGCTTAGGCTATAAAACCTAGGAGTCATCCTTTATTCTGTGCTTGACACTTGATATGTAGTCTGTCCCCAAGTCCCATCAGTTCAACCTTTGAAATTAAAGGTTTCTCTAGAAGGAAATATTCCAAATATAACCACTTATCACATCTATTGAAATATCCCTCATCCTGTCTTACCTAGAATACTGCAGTAGGCGCCCAACTGGTCTCTCCTTTCACTTTCAGTCTTGCCTCCTCTATATTCTTTTTTATACACAGCAACCATATGATTTTTGAAATGTAAATCAGATTCTGTCTTTCTCCAGCTTAAAACTCTCCGTTGGCACTCATCTCCTCCACTCACTGTTTTCTGTTCCATTCTGGTTATATACTGGCTTACTTTCTGTTTACTCTTCCGGAATGTTCTTTCCCTACGATGACTTCATTCAGTTATTTCTTCAAATACTACCTCTGTAGAGAAGTCTTCCCTATCTAAAATATACTCCCTTTTACACATACTTTTTTAAAAAATTCTTTTTATAAGCATGTCTATGTGAAATTTTATTATTAATTTATCACTTTATTATCTTTCAAGGTATTCTCACTAAAATATAAATTCTAAGAGCAAGGACTTTGTCTCTTTCATTGCCATATTCAAAGCTTCTAGCAATGTCTTGCCAATAGTAGGTAATGAATAAAAAATCTATTGGCTGAAAGAATGAAACTTGCTAATTCATGTTCTCAGATAATTCTTCCTGAAGCAAGCCCTCAGAGTTTCTGCCTAAGCCTCATTACCATCATTCCACCCCCATATTCTCCTCCCCTCCCAAAAAAAGCAGACAAAAATAAAAACTTTAATATCTTCTTTTTTTTGAAGAAATTTAAGTTCGTACTCTGGCACCCTCCATGATTTATTCTTTTTT